AATTCGCGAAAGAGTTCGTCCGCCGAAGGAATATTTAAATTCAATCCGGATGCAACGGCAGTAAAGCACCACGGATCAGGGGAGGCGGAGTGGGGGTAGCCGGGGGTACGAAGGGTGGTCGAACAGGGGCGGTAAACGCGGCCTTGTCCGCCGACCATCCTGTTTCTCCTTGCCTGTTTCCTTTGATGCTTTTTCTCTCCGTGGCCACCACCCCCCGCCCCCCTCGCCCTCCGTGCCGTCCCGCGCAACGAGATCGCGCGATAAAGACGTAGTCGATTGTTACTGTAACTACAGCGGCAAGGGTGCCGGAGCGATTGCTGTAATAAACATTTTACGAGGATCAATGCGAACGGTTTATTTGTTTATCGAGCTTACGAGTAATTAAGTCGTTCAGGTACAGGTCGTTTCAAAGTTCCTAGTTCGCGTCGTTAAACTCGCATCCTGTAAATTCGACTCTATTTAATTACGAGCCGGTGTTTTAAAAATCGGGTGCGATCGACAACGTTTCTCGGCCTTTTTATTCGACTCGCCCCCTCGACCCCACTCGGGCTGCACAGCTGGAAAGCTTGGTTTCCTTGGGCGTAATCGATCGGCGGGAGGAAAATGTTGAAAAGGGAACCGGAGAGTTTATGTTTCCGTGGAGCAATTAGATTTTTTGCGGCCAACGTAGGCATGACGGCATGAAAGGTCTAAACTCCCGGTCGATAACTCGAATCGGGGCCCGGTGATACGGAGATTCCGTGGAATCGATGGGAAGAGATCGTCGTTTCGATCGACGCGGGCTGCCCCCCTCGATGGGACCGGCGTCACCGGAAACGAAGCGTCCGTTTGCGACGACCACGAACAAAGCCCGCTCTAATTACACCCCTTTATGATCTTTTCCGGCATCCAATCGGATCTCCTCGTTTTCCTCGCCCTGCGCGCGATAATCTCGTTAACTCGTCGCCGTTAACGCCTCCTGACCATGTCTCCGCGCGTGATATAGGTGTTCCTCGAAAGCGGGCGATTCATCTTCCAACCACCCGGTGATTCCGAGTCCCAAAACGGTTCTACTTTACCGTTATCGTCCTTAGACCCGGGCCGCGCGTTCCACGAACGTTCTCGCGTCTCTCGCGCGGTAAACGGGCAGAGGCAAAACAGCGCGGAGTGGGGGAGTGGACGCGGTGCGTGGCGGGGGGAGCGACCTTGAGCGACGGTAAACTTCGCGTCTGCCTATAACGCGAACTCCCGACGCGTCGATTCGAAACACGGACGCCCTCTACCTCGCACCTACCTCGCACACGCGACTCTCGGCCAAAGTCCGATCTTCCGGCTCTCTCGGAAGACTCGGGCTGCCGACAAAGTCGTTGGCTCGAGGGAAAAAGCGCCGGGCGAACAATGGTGGTTCGATTGGTTATCAAACAGCCTCGTTAACAACGGATAATCCGACACAGCGGTGAATAGGAGGACTAATTACATTAAGAGGCGACGAGTCGACGGTGGCAAGAGCGTACAAGTCTGCGCAGCCAGCGAGGACGACGCGACGGTGAAATGCAAATGCTCGGTGAAATTTTCGTGAAGCGGCCGGGGTCGGCATTAGAATTCATAAAACGAGCTGACCTGTCCCTTCGTTAAGGGCCGTGAAACCGGCGTGTGACCTGCCCGACACGCCCACCTTAATTAACAATAATCGTCCTTCCTGGTAGCTCAGCGGGTGTCGCTTCGGGACACGATCGCCGACCTATCCGAAAGTTCTGTCTTTTTGTCCGGCCCCGGGTAACGAGTGCCTTTTCTTCTCGGTCCTGCCACGTCGCACCATTTTGCCCGGTCCCTGGCATTAAGGATATAACGGTGCCTGGTTCCTGACCGTTTTCGACAGGAAACTGCGCGTGGAACAGAGCCGCAGGTATCCTACCGAAGGAATATCCAATTTATCCTCTTACACGGTATATCTGTTTTCACGATGGCACGTTTAACGGGTGCCTAGGCTAGCCTAGACGATACGACCTACGTTCGAATCTTCGGATAGGAAAGCGAGGATCGACCAGCGTGACGGCAAGAGGGGCGAGACGTTGCGTGCGTAAATAAGAGGCGCAAGAAAGTGTTGCCGTTGGACGACGCCGATTTCAATTTCGATTTCGATTTCATACGGCACGGCCCCCATAATGCCGATCGCATGTACGCGAATGGAGGGTCGGCGATATTTAGAACGCGGCTCTTGGAGATTATCGAAACGCACGTAACACAGGTGCAGAGGGCCCGCGCGATCGAGGAGTGCTAGGTCGGCTGGAAAGAACGCGCGTGTAGCCTGGAGAGAAAGCTACGGAGAATTATTATACCGATTGCTCGCGCTAATTACCGTCTATTATGACTCTTATTACGAATAATACGCGTCAATTAAAAGAAAAAGTAAGTTGGAAACGAAGCGGAATCGATCCCTATCTTGGACCCTCTTCGTGCCCGACAGAGGGGGCAACAATCGCGTGTTCCATTTCGAACGGACTGCGTTCGGAATTCCTTCTAGGACTCGTAGCAAGCGTGGAACAAAATTTCATTCCGCCGAGCGTTATCCTCGACTGCAACTCGCTCCGTTCGGAACCAACGGTTCTCCCGATTCGTGAAAGTTGCGCGACGAGGTTACGTTAACCTCGACTTTGTTGCGGCCGTGTGTACGCGGCTTAAAGAACGCCCTTAATGCTCGCGCAACAGTAACGATACCTGGTTACGAATTCCATTTCGATCTGCCCCCCTCTATCCCGCCCCGGTTCCAACGGTGCCCCTGGGCCCCCTAGCTCTTCGCGTTAATCGAGAATCATCGGTGGGTCTTCCAGGGGAAGGAAGGAGGACGGAGAAAAAAAATGGAGGGAAAAACGAAACGGAAAAGGGGGGCGAGAGAATAAATAAATAAATAAATAAAT